ATCAATGACGTAAAAATTAATCATATCATTATCTGAATTCATTACTAAAACGATACTGACGAAATTATATTACAGGACAAATTCATTTGCCGAGTTATGTTGTCAGTTAGATACATTAGTCAGTCATTCACAATTTTCAGTTAGAGTTATGGAGATTAGTGTTTTTACACACTGAAAGCATCATTCAATCATTATTAGATCACCAGTAGAAACATAGAAGCACTGGACAGCCGTTTCGTGCTGGTATGGGGGGACTCATCAGCAGTGCGTATCCACGACTCCTGCACCACGCAGGATTCGAACCCAGGACCTTCGATGTTGTGCGCAAGCGCCCAACCATCGGATCAGTGGTCCGGCATCCAACGGTGTCAATGTCTAACTCTGATTGATCTACGGATTTTAGCGCGACCTCACCCATTTGTCTTTGGTAGTTACTGCCTACATCCGACAGGGTTCAACTCCACTGGTGACGTCTTCTCACCAGAACTCCGAAAACTTCCCCACGAAGCTAATCTCCATAGCTCCAACTGAAAATATCGTGACTAGCTTCGTGAGTCGTGGATGCGCACTGCTGATGAGTCCCATACCAGGAGGAAACGGTCGTCCAGTGCTTCCAGGTTTCTAATAGTGGTCTAACAATGATTGATCGATGATTTCAAATCATTGATAACTCATATAGTGTGATAAGTCATGAATTTCTATTTGTGATGTACATCTTGGTTAGTAATTTTAATTTGGGAATTATAAAACAGCATATTTATTGGTTACTGTTACCGACTATTATCGACGTGAAAATTATCATGTGCACACCGGTTACCAGCTCCGTGAAGAAGTTTCTTCTAGTTTAACGCTGTTTGCGTGTGAAGCTTTGTTGACCTCCGACAAGGGATTAGGTTGTGCACTCCCGTGGATTGATCTAAATTAGACAGTAACAGCGTTCGATGCCGGCTCAGAGGTTTAGAGGTTAAGCGTTCGCGCGCAAGGCAGAAGGTCTTGAGGCCGATTCATGCGAGTAGCGGGAGTCGTGGATGCTAACTGATGATGAGTCCCATCCCAAGATGAAAGGGTCATCCAGTGATTTAAGGTTTCTAATGGTGATCTAAAAATAGACCGATCCATGATTTTAGCAATCTACACAACCCTCTGATGAAAATCTATAGAACTCGACATGAGAGATGAGATTATCATTAAGGAGATTTTTAAAGATAATTGAATATTACAGAAATCACAAAAACCAACTTAAGTTAGACATCCATTGAGATTCAATTGGCAATGAAAAGTTGTTTTAACCTAATGTGTGACTGAATCCTCAGTCGTACTGTAGTGAACGAGAACACAGGTGGGGCAACCGAATTGTATTTAACGAAAATTACAGAGTTACTCAGTAAAATTGGAAAACCATATCGTAAATCGTTCATTTGCAAATTATCAGTTCATCATATCGAACTGGACTGTTCCTGTTGCAAAACATCAATCCATTGTCACTATTCATGCGTTTCATACAAATTCCATTGTGTTCCCACTCTTCTTCTTTTCTTGATCTTCCTCCATCTTCTACTGCCAGACATTACGTTGACACTGACGTCATATACTACTTATAAGTAGCTCACACCACAGTACATATCTACAACCTTGTCACTGTGAATTGAATTCAACCTCTTAACGCAACCTCTTAAATTGTAACTTGACTTAATTCCCTATATCTCAACATACATTGTCTTAACCCCGAATCACTGAGATCGTTAATGGCACATATTCAAATCTTGACTTGTTTGTCAGTCAATCATGTTACCTCGCTGTTCGATCTATCGATACAGAGCAATTATTTCCTAATATCTTATAAAATGATGCATTCAGTCACAAATTTTAATTATTCGATCCAATATCTGGCCAGTAAGTAAAACAATGAATTTATAATCATGTACAACATTCATGAATAATACATGATTGTACTGCTATGTATAATTTAGTATTCGTTCAATTAAAAAAAATATAGGATATTCTTAAAACTGAACATGTAAGAGATAAAAATACGCATATTCATTTCATTGTCAAGTTGTTTATCACATAGCATGGTTTATTAATTATTTCCTAACCTAAAAATGAAATATTATTGGTTATGATTACTGGCTGTGTTGATTGGTTCTTGAAATTTTATTTATTTTATTTAGATTTAATCTTTATAAAACTAACATTATTAGCCTAACAACAACAATCTATCGCAACTCATTAAAATTTGTATTTCTCAGGAATAAGTAATAGTATAAAGCTTATTTTTGAGGAGGAAAAACACAATGCCTCATGATCAAAGTTCCAAGAAATCTGTAAAATGTAAACATTCAAATAATAATAATAATCATAATTGTGAACATTCTAAATTATGTCATCAATCATGTGGATATTGTTCACCGAAATTAGCATTTGATTTATTCTGTAGTTGTACAAGTGTACGTGGTATGGCAAAAATACGTCAAGGCCCAAAAGTATTACGTATTATGTGGTTAACATTTGTGCTAAGCATGACATTTCTATTGTTAAGTTCAACAGCATTATTAATTAAAGATTTTTTAAATTATGATGTCAGTGTACATACTCAATTGATTATGGATAATCCGTCACCATTCCCAGCGTTGACTGTTTGTCATCAACCACCATTCTCCTATGAAGCATATAAATTATGGAATCAATCGAAAATTTTATCACCCTCACAATATAATTTATACATGAGAAAATTGATTCTTGACGCATTACATAAAAATGATGTGAATTCAGCTAGTTCAATTTGGAGTTATGATAGTTTAAGTGTTTATTATCAAAATTTAAATTATCAAGACTCATTAACTTTAGGACATAATCCAACAATCTTCTTAAATTGTATGCGTATCTTTTCACATATGTCAGCATTTGAAGATAATTGTACTCTGTTAAGTGGTTATCGTATTAAACGTTTATCACATCATCAATATTTAAATTGTTATACATTTGAACCGGTAAATATGAATGCAGCAAATGAGACAACATTTTTAAGTTTAATTGTTGGTATGGGTCCAAGAGATAAAGATGTCAATTTACAACAAGCTTTCCTACCGGATGTATTTGAACAAGCTCGTGGACTACGTGTAGTAATACATGAAGCTGGTACAATGCCTGATTTAGAAAAAAGTGGTATTCATGTTGAACCAGGTAAACTTAATGAAATCAATTATGAACCAATTCGATGGAAACGATTGAATACACCGAAACGACCATGTATTCGACCGAATGAATCACATCAGTATTTAGATTTAGATGTAAAATATAATTATACGCATACACAATGTTTATTAGTACATCAACAAATTGAAATAATGAACAATTGTCATTGTATTTATGTTATGCATCCACGTTTAGTTTTACCAAGTAAAACTTTACCCTATTGTGGTCAATTATGGCCACATTTAAATCAAACTGCATTCATAGAAAAAATACTATGTCTTAGTAAATATTTAAATAATTCCGTTAAACAAAAATATGATGGACAAATGTGTTTTCCACGTTGTGAATTCTATGATTATGAAAGTACTACATCTGTAACAAAATGGCGTGCATATCCATGGCAATTGTATTGGTTACGTGTACAAAATCAAGCTACTCAATGGTTATTAAATTATCAAGAAAAATATCCACATCAAAATATCACTACAACAGCTGCATTTAAATTATGGGAATTTTATTTAAACTATCCTGATTTAACACGTTTACCAAGAAAAAGTGAATTATTAAAAGATTCAAGTAGAACATTTTTAGAAATCTCTTCATTATTACCGAATTGGCCACCGGAAAATTTAGATTTAGACAGTGAAGATTTTGCTTATGTTATATTAAACGTAAAATCACAAAGTACAGTTGGAAAAAACGGAGAAATTAATTTAAGTTTATATGTATTAGTTAGTCGTATAGGGGGTTTATGTTCATTGACAATTGGATTAACTGCAGCATTTTTTGTGGAATTATTTGAATTTGGTTATTTATTGTATAGAAATAATGTTAAATCTACAATTATTGTACAAACAGAAAAATGTATACAATTACAAGAGATACAACAACAAACTGAACAGAAAAATTATGTTTATCATCACATCATATGAATACATCCGTAGAACGTTAAAACAACATTTCAAGGTCAACTGACTCATGTTGGATTGAACAATGTTACAATGAACAATGAACATACTGTTATTATTCTAATTATTTTTAATTATTATTATTATTATTTATATACTGGTAGGTAGTTCAAAATTACAATCAGTTATATATATATATATATTTTTTGTTACGTAATTTTAGGAATATTTTATTTGTAAGTTTTGGTTGCTCTTATATTTTTTTTACAAAACTAAAAAATACACTAGCTACCCTGTAATTTAATGTAAAGTAATTTAGAAAAATAAACATTTTTTTTCTTCTTCAAAGTATAAAATTTAGAACAAAAAGAATGTGCTTGTCAATTTAATTATTAAAAGATTTAATACTCGAACACCCACTGGTCGAGTGAGAGCTTATGGCGAACTGTCAACGGAATTTTTTACGTTTCAAAACTTGAAGTAAAAAATTCCGTTGACAGTCATAATGCTCTCACCGACCAGTGGTGTTCGAGTATTAAATCTTTTAATAATTTAAATGACAAGCCACATCTTTTTGTTCTAAATTTTATACCTTTGAAGAAGAAAAAAAATGTTTATTTTTCTAAATTACTTACATTAAATTACAGGGTAGCTAGTGTATTTTTTTATTTTGTAAAAAAATATAAGAGCAACCAAAACTTACAAAATAAAATATTCCATAAATACGTAACAAAATATTATATATATATATATAACTGATTGTAATTTTGAACTACCTACCAGTATATAAATAATAATAATAATAATTAAAAATAATTAGAATAATAACAGTATGTTCATTGTTCATTGTACATTGTTCAATCCAAACATGAGTCAGTGACCTATTGAACTGTTGTTTTAACGTTCTACGGATGTATTCATATGATGTGATGATAAACATGAATTTTTCTGTTTCAGTTTGTTGTGTATCTCTTGTAATTGTATACATTTTTCTGTTTGTAAATGTAGATTAACATTATTTCTATACAATAAATAACCAAATTCAAATAATTCCACAAAAAATGCTGCAGTTAATCCAATTGTCAATGAACATAAACCCCCTATTACGACTAACTAATACATATAAACTTAAAATTAATTTCTCCGGTTTTTTCAACTGTACTTTGTGATTTACGTTTTAATATAACATAAGCAAAATCTTCACTGTCTAAATCTAAATTTTCCGGTGGCCAATTCGGTTAATAATGAAGAGATTTCTAAAAATGTTCTACTTGAATCTTTTAATAATTCACTTTTTCTTGGTAAACGTGTTAAATCAGGATAGGTTTAAATAAAATTCCCATAATTTAAATGCAGCTGTTGTAGTGATATTTTGATGTGGATATTTTTTCTTGATAATTTAATAACCCATTGAGTAGCTGATTTTTGTACACGTAACCAATACAATTGCCATGGATATGCACGCCATTTTGTTACAGATGTAAGTATCTTTCATAATCATCACAACGTGGAAAAACATTTGTCCATCATATTTTTGTTTAACGGAATTATTTAAATATTTACTAAGACATAGTATTTTTTCTATGAATGCAGTTTGATTTAAATGTGGCCATAATTGACCCACAATAGGGTAAAGTTTTACTTGGTAAAACTAAACGTGGATGCATAACATAAATACAATGACAATTGTTCATTATTTCAATTTGTTGATGTACTAATAAACATTGTGTATGCGTATAATTATATTTTACATCTAAATCTAAATATTGATGTGATTCATTCGGTCGAATACATGGTCGTTTCGGTGTATTCAATCGTTTTCCATCGAATTGGTTCATAATTGATTTCATTAAGTTTACCTGGTTCACATGAATACCACTTTTTTTCTAAATCAGGCATTGTACCAGCTTCATGTATTACTACACGTAGTCCACGAGCTTGTTCAAATACATCCGGTAGGAAAGCTTGTTGTAAATTGACATCTTTATCTCTTTGGACCCACCAACAATTAAACTTAAAAATGTTGTCTCATTTGCTGCATTCATATTAACCGGTTCAAATGTGTAACAATTTAAATATTGATGATGTGATAAACGTTTAATACGATAACCACTTAACAGAGTACAATTATCTTCAAATGCTGACATATGTGAAAAGATACGCATACAATTTAAGAAGATTGTTGGATTATGTCCTTAAGTTAATGAGTCTTGATAATTTTAAATTTTGATAATAAACACTTAAACTATCATTAACTCCAAATTGAACTAGCTGAATTCACATCATTTTTATGTAATGCGTCAAGAATCAATTTTCTCATGTATAAATTATATTGTGAGGGTGATAAAATTTTCGATTGATTCCATAATTTATATGCTTCATAGGAGAATGGTGGTTGATGACAAACAGTCAACGCTGGGAATGGTGACGGATTATCCATAATCAATTGAGTATGTACACTGACATCATAATTTAAAAATCTTTAATTAATAATGCTGTTGACTTAACAATAGAAATGTCATGCTTAGCACAAATGTTAACCACATAATACGTAATACTTTTGGGCCTTGACGTATTTTTGCCATACCACGTACACTTGTACAACTACAGAATAAATCAAATGCTAATTTCGGTGAACAATATCCACATGATTGATGACATAATTTAGAATGTTCACAATTATTATTATTATGATTATTATTATTTGAATGTTTACATTTTACAGATTTCTTGGAACTTTGATCATGAGGCATTGTGTTTTTTCCGCCTGAAAATAAGCTTTATGCTATTACTTATTCCTGAGAAATGCAAATTTCAATGAGTTGCGATAGATTGTTGTTAGGCTAATAATGTTAGTTTTATAAAGATTAAATCTAAATAAAATAAATAAAATTTCAAGAACCAATCAACACAGCCAGTAATCATAACCAATAATATTTCATTTTTAGGTTAGGAAATAATTAATAAACCATGCTATGTGATAAACAACTTGACAATGAAATGAATATGCGTATTTTTATCTCTTACATGTTCAGTTTTAAGAATATCCTATATTTTTTTTTAATTGAACGAATACTAAATTATACATTGCAGTACAATCATGTATTATTCATGAATGTTGTACATGATTATAAATTCATTGTTTTATTTACTGGCCAGATATTGGATTGAATAATTGAAATTTGTGACTGAATGCATCATTTTATAAGATATTAGGAAATAATTGCTCTGTATCGATAGATCGAACAGCGAGGTAACATGATTGACTGACAAACAAGTCAAGATTTGAATATGTGCCATTAACGATCTCAGTGATTCGGGGTTAAGACAATGTATGTTGAGATATAGGGAATTAAGTCAAGTTACAATTTAAGAGGTTGCGTTAAGAGGTTGAATTCAATTCACAGTGACAAGGTTGTAGATATGTACTGTGGTGTGAGCTACTTATAAGTAGTATATGACGTCAGTGTCAACGTAATGTCTGGCAGTAGAAGATGGAGGAAGATCAAGAAAAGAAGAAGAGTGGGAACACAATGGAATTTGTATGAAACGCATGAATAGTGACAATGGATTGATGTTTTGCAACAGGAACAGTCCAGTTCGATATGATGAACTGATAATTTGCAAATGAACGATTTACGATATGGTTTTCCAATTTTACTGAGTAACTCTGTAATTTTCGTTAAATACAATTCGGTTGCCCCACCTGTGTTCTCGTTCACTACAGTACGACTGAGGATTCAGTCACACATTAGGTTAAAACAACTTTTCATTGCCAATTGAATCTCAATGGATGTCTAACTTAAGTTGGTTTTTGTGATTTCTGTAATATTCAATTATCTTTAAAAATCTCCTTAATGATAATCTCATCTCTCATGTCGAGTTCTATAGATTTTCATCAGAGGGTTGTGTAGATTGCTAAAATCATGGATCGGTCTATTTTTAGATCACCATTAGAAACCTTAAATCACTGGATGACCCTTTCATCTTGGGATGGGACTCATCATCAGTTAGCATCCACGACTCCCGCTACTCGCATGAATCGGCCTCAAGACCTTCTGCCTTGCGCGCGAACGCTTAACCTCTAAACCTCTGAGCCGGCATCGAACGCTGTTACTGTCTAATTTAGATCAATCCACGGGAGTGCACAACCTAATCCCTTGTCGGAGGTCAACAAAGCTTCACACGCAAACAGCGTTAAACTAGAAGAAACTTCTTCACGGAGCTGGTAACCGGTGTGCACATGATAATTTTCACGTCGATAATAGTCGGTAACAGTAACCAATAAATATGCTGTTTTATAATTCCCAAATTAAAATTACTAACCAAGATGTACATCACAAATAGAAATTCATGACTTATCACACTATATGAGTTATCAATGATTTGAAATCATCGATCAATCATTGTTAGACCACTATTAGAAACCTGGAAGCACTGGACGACCGTTTCCTCCTGGTATGGGACTCATCAGCAGTGCGCATCCACGACTCACGAAGCTAGTCACGATATTTTCAGTTGGAGCTATGGAGATTAGCTTCGTGGGGAAGTTTTCGGAGTTCTGGTGAGAAGACGTCACCAGTGGAGTTGAACCCTGTCGGATGTAGGCAGTAACTACCAAAGACAAATGGGTGAGGTCGCGCTAAAATCCGTAGATCAATCAGAGTTAGACATTGACACCGTTGGATGCCGGCCCAGTGGTCCGATGGTGAGGCGTTCGCTCACAATACCGAATGTCCTGGGTCCGAATCCTGCGAGGTGCAGGAGTCGTGGATGCGCACTGCTGATGAGTCGCATACCAGGACGAAACGGCTGTCCAGTGCTTCTAGGTTTCTAATGGTGGTCTAATAATGTTTGATTGTTGATTTCAAATGTGTAAAAACACAAATCTCCATAGCTCTAACTGAAAATTGTGAATGACTGACTAATGTATCTAACTGACAACATAACTCGGCAAATGAATTTGTCCTGTAATATAATTTCGTCAGTATCGTTTTAGTAATGAATTCAGATAATGATATGATTAATTTTTACGTCATTGATTACCATATAAAATGATTTAGAATAAAAAGCTTTCAGATCATATTTCATCAGTAGTATAAATCTGGAAGAAAAAACACTCCACTCCAACTAACATGCAATATTGACTTAATGGGTCTATTCATTTACTCATTAGCGAAATTCAAGTCTCATGTTGAATTCAAAAAGTAATCTAACTAAATCAGCTGTCATTAGATTATGACCTGACATGTTTTCTGAAAGCTTCTATTTCAAAACTTATATAAATCTCCGATGTCTGTGACTCTTAGTTAAAAGATAACTTTCGTGCTTTTGTTGATATAGAATTTGGTTGAAGTGTTAGGAACACAGTGAACGTACCTTAAGAACTAGAAAAATTACCAATCGACTATTCAAAAACTGGAATACTAATCTATGAAAATCACTTACAAGTGTACACACAACATTTTCGAGTCTAGCAACAAGCATCACATCAAATCATAAAGTGTACTTTACTATTCATTACAATAAACTCCATCTGAGGTCTCTTTAAGGTTACGTTATATCATTTCTGCTTCCAGTTTTCGGCGTAACGTGTTCTTTGGAATTCCTGTTTCTTTTGGCCTTAAGATTTCGTAGTGACAGCCTACCACCTTATGAAGCATTCATGCGCTTTACTCGATGTGTATCATATTCACCTGCTGCACTTTTTCCAGATTTATTCGTCTTGTGGAATCTGGCTTTTATCTCCATCAGTTGGTTATTGTTCATGGCGTCTTGCAAACGGATCTGAAGTACCTTGTATAGGAAGATGTTAACACATACTTGTATCTTCCGGATAATGGTTTTTGTGGTCACGTAAGTTTCTGCTCCATACAGTAGTACTGTCTTGATACCTGTACTGAAAATTCTGGCTTTTGTATTGATTGATAGTTGTTTTGAGTTCCAGACATTCTTCAATTGTAGAAATGCTACCCTTGCTCTGCAGATCTGTGGCTTTCACATCTTCATCAGATCCGCTTTGTCCATCAGTGATTCTGCCCATGTATATAAAGATTTTTATAACTTCCAAAACTTCTCTAGCAAGTGTCTCCCACAGTGTATGAACATTCCATGTACTTAAATTATTTGTTGCTTTGGTTGTGTGATTGACCACCGCCCTCGTGACTTTCGAAGAAACACTCGGCTTTCATAATGAGACCTCATAACTCTTCTAAACTATGAGTTCAAATGGTTTGAATTATTTTTCTGATTAGCGAGTTTTGGTGAGTTAGTTTTCTACGGGTCGCTAACCCCACCATCACTGACCCCATTCTTATATCCAAGCTTAAACCTGGCAGTAACCTCAGAAGGGCTTCAGGTAGAGTTAATTGTAATCAATAGTAAAATACATTTTATAATTTGGTATGATGCTTTTTGCTAGACTCAAAAAAAAATTGTCTGTAAGCTTCTAAATGATTTTTATCGATTAAAACATCAGTTTTTGAATAGTTCATTGTTTTACTTTGTCTAGTTCTTAAGTTACTTTTATTATGTAGTGAACACTTCAACTAAATTCTTATAGATAATATACGTATAGTAAAATATCAATAAAAATCTCAAAAGGTGACTCTTCACTTAGACTGATTACTTACCTTCGCCTGTTACCCCCAATGGAGCACAGGCCAACCACCAGTTTACTCCAACAAACTCTGTCCTGGGGTTCCCTCTCCAGTTCTGTCCAATGTTTGTTCATTCCTCTCATATCTTTCTCTATTTCTCAGCGTAATGTATTCTTTGGCCTTCCTCTTTTCCTTCGCCTTGAGGGTTCCATGTGAGGGCTTGTCTCGTGACGCAGTTTGGTGCTTTCCGCAATGTGTGACCTATCCACTTCCACCAATTCTTCCTGATTTCCTCCTCCACTCGAATCTGGTTTGTTCTCTCCCACAGTAAGTTGTTGCTGATGGTGTCTGGTCAACGAATCCGAAGTATTTTGCGTAGGCAGCTGTTAATAAACACTTGTATCTTCTGGATAATGCCTTTCGTAGTTCTGCAAGTTTCCGCTCCATACAGTAGAACTGTCTTCACATTTGTATTGAAAATGCTGATTTTGGTTTTGGTTGAAAGTTGTTTGGAGTTGCAGATATTTTTCAACTGTAGAAATGCAGCCCTTGCTTTGCCAATCCGCACCCTCACATCTGCATCGGATCCACCATGGTTGTCGATGATGCTGCCCAGATATGTAAAGGTGTCAACGTCCTCCAAGGCATCTCCATCAAGAGTGATTTGGTTGGTGCATGTTGTGTTGCATCGGAGAATTTTGCTTTTTCCTTTATGTATGTTGAGAACTACTGCTGCAGAGGATGCTACTATACTGATCGTCTTCTCTTGTATTTGTTGTTGCGTGTGAGATAGAAGAGCCAGGTCTTCTGCGAAGTCCAGATCGTCCAGCTGCATCCCAACTGTCCAGTTGATACTGTGCTTCCCTCCAGATGTAGACGTCTTCATAATCCAACTTAGACTGATAGATTCGTACAATAAATAAGTAGACAAATATGTGGGAAAGTAGTAAAAACCTTTGAGAAAATGCAACAAACATCGATAATATAAAGAAGATTTGAGCCAAACTTCCCAAAGCACATGATATTTGTGAATTATTCCACGAAAAAACAATATTTCCAGAATAGAATTCTTCATATGTGCTCAAGAGATTTTTAATTTACTATAAGATTGAAGAGATGGTGGAAAATGATTTGAATATTTAGAGTAGTTTTTA